GCAAATCAGTAGAATACGTAAAATCCAAACTAACATTAGAATTTCAAAAACGTGAAGATAACAATGGTAACATAAAAAATAATCTTTAAGCATTTAATTCCCAAATGCCAAAAAAGGTAAGAATTTTAATCAACAACAAAATAACAAATATTTTAATTCAAGAAACTTCAACAATAATCAACCGAGCAATTCAAGATATCAAAATAATCAGGAAAAGCCAGATAATTAGATAAAAAGATGTTATAAATGTAACAGACTAGGACACATAGCGTTTTTGTTGGAACAATTCAAATGGACAAAACAGATATTCAAGAAATCTCAACAGAAGTAATTTAATGAGAATCGCTGGAAATTCAGTTGTAAATGACGAAAGTGAAAGAAATACTTTTAATGTCGAAGTTATGACAACGGCTAAAAAGTCAAATGAAAAAAACATGTTAGTTGAAGAAGTTACATGGTTATTGGATAATGATTGCTCAGATCATATTGTGTGAACTCTGATAAATATTTCTCGACGTCTGTAAAGTTGGAAACTCCTGTGGATATTAAAGTGGGTGATGGCTTCTCACTACAATCCGATAAAATTGGAAATATTACTATTTTTTTTAACGTTGCTGATAAACAAATTGAAACCGAAATAAAAGACGTTTATTATGTGCCAAAAATGAAACAAAATTTATTAAGCATTTCGGCTATTGTTGGTCAAAAGAATAGAGTTATATTTGAAAACAATAATGCAAAAATTTATAATAAAAGAAAAGAACTAATTGCTATTGGTGAAAAGAAAAAGAAACTTTATGCATAAAATGGAAAAGTTATAAATGACGAAAATATTGAAACCATATCATATACAAGCTTTATAGAGATGTCAAATAAAGAAAGATGGCATAAAATACTTGGCCATACAAATTTTCGTGATTTAAAATATCTGTGTGAATTACAGTTACTTGATGGACTTCCTAAAAGGATTGAAGACGAATTTTTAAAGTGCGAAACGTGTTTGAAAAACAAAATGACAAATTTAAAATTTAAAAATAATCGAAACAGAGCAAATGACATTCTAGAAATAATCTATACAGATGTACATGGACCAGTTACTCAAACCGGATAGAAAGGTGAAAAGTATTTCGTAACCTGTATAGATGATTATAGTAAAATTGCTGTTGTGTACTGCATAAATAGTCATTTTGAGCACTTCCTGTAACCGTAATTATCTTAATTCTGTAACATAAAATAAAACAAGCTATAACTTGAAAACAGGGTCATATCGGACATATGTTTATATGAATTTTTTCTCTTATTTTTGTGTCCTGAATCTCTCATTGCAATACTTCCCACTTTTTAGGATACACCCTGTATATTACAATTGATGCAAGATAGTCATGTACACGGAGAAAAAATAGAGATATTTTAGTACACGTTGTTAATAGAAGCACATAGAACTATTGTTATCTCTGTGATCGTAACAATCGAGTATAAAAAGAATATTATCCGAACGTGATTTTGTATGTGTTAGGTTGAGAGAAAGCAGCATTACTTTTCATCACAAAACACATTCGCGTATTATAAACTTGTATAGGGATGATCAGAATAAAATGTATATAATGTATAACTCATATTTCAGTATTTGAATTCGATAATTAACTTATGTAAATAGTTGTTGCAGTGTGTGTATAAAAGTGCTAATTATATATATATATAAAATTATCACGTTTCCCGTCCGAATGTTTTTTTTTGTCCGATAGCGATTGCGCGTCGCGGAATAATTAAAGCATAACGAATTGACAATGTGGTAAAATTCGTATTGATTTTCCCGCGACCTTTTCTGTTCCCAACAATATATCATATTTACCGATATTATATTAGGTCTACCGGAAAGTTCTGTCCGTTTTTGGAATAAAACAAAATACAAATTTTTATTACCGTCAATAAACTTTATTAAATAATGTAATTGCCATTATTATTAATGATTTCTTGCCAGCGTGAGGGCAATTTGTATATCCCTTTTTCGAAAAATGTTTTATCTTTTGATGCGAAAAATTGAACCAGTGCTTGTTTGATATCTTCTTCATTTTTGAATTTTTTGCCCCTCAAAAAATTTTGTAAGGACAAAAACAAGTGATAGTCGGTGGGTGCTAAGTCCGGGGAATATGGTGGATGCGACAGAATTTTCCAGCCTAGTTCTGCAATTTTTTGACGAGTATCCAAAGCAGCATGTGGCCTGGCATTATCATGATGCAGTATGATGTTCTTCCTATTGGACATCGCCGGCCTCTTTTCTTGGACTGCTGTATTTAAATTATCCAGTTGCTGACAATACTTCTCCGAATAATGGCAATTACATTATTTAATAAAGTTTATTGACGGTAATAAAAATTTGTATTTTGTTTTATTCCAAAAACGGACAGAACTTTCCGGTAGACCTGATACATACCTGAGTAGGAACCTTTTGTATCCATAGGCGGCGGGGGGTCATTAGATGGCCTGTACATGGTATTTTTCGTCTTAAAAGACGGGATGCTGGAAAGAAAAATACATATGTAACCATTGAGATATATTAAATTCATATTAGAGAGATCTATTATATTGTTTGTGCTAGAGATTGAAAATCCTAAAGCAATGTTTTTCTGAATTGAATATTTGATGCTATAGATATGTAAAAAAGATATGTCTTATGTCAATTGCTATGTGTTTCCACTTTTCACCAAAATATAAAGATCTAAGCGATAATATTTTACAATAATTTTAAGCAACGCAAAATATAATGTGTTGCATTATTTTATTTTGACTTATTAATTATCTTATTTAAAATTTTTTATGTAAAATTCCGGAATATCCGAATATGGATTTTTTAATTATTTTAAAAGAAACTAAATGCTTGTGTATTCTGAATGTTTGGTTATTTCTATTATATACTATTCAATTACCTGTGAATATTAATAACATTAATCTCAATTCTTAGTCTACGTCCAAAATTTAGCTTTTCCAATCGTTTATAAATAATATGACATGTGTAATATTTTATATTAATTGACATAAGTTGCCTTAACTTAGTATAGGTGTATATTTATTTTAAAAATCGACTTTTGAATTATCGTAAACTAAACGATGATCTCTTTCTCAAGAAAATAGATTTATGCATATTGCAATATTAAACGGCGGTCCTGAAATAGACTAGCTATACGTTTATCGGTAAAATGTATTAAAAATTTCAAATCGTTACAATGATAAACCAGCATGCGCGTATTTTTAATAGAAAAAGAGAACATTGATTCCGTTCTTTTATAAATGTTATCTGAAGCATATGTCAATTATGGAAATTTTACGTCTAAATTTATAAATACGATAAAAAATGTTTTAACGGGTGATAGGGAGAGCCGGCGCAGTAAACAAGGCGCAAAAGAATAAATTGTCCAAAGTTCGTTCATTATAAAATTAAATGATACAATTTTATAACAATACAATAAAATTAAATGATACGATTTTAAACGAATTTTAGACAATTTATTCTTTTGCGCCTTGTTTACTGTGCCAGCTTTCTATCGCTCGTTAAAACATTTTTTATCATATTTGTATATATTGAAGCTTTTAGTGTGTTTACATTTTAATTTGTTGTATGTAATTTATATTTTTATTACAAGTTTATATTGTATTTTTTCTTACGTTTTCTTTTTTTATATTTTCTTATATTTGAGCAATATATTACTATGAAATATTAATATAATGGTAAAGGGGTAGTAATAATTTTTTTATTTTAGTAAGAAAGAGAGAGAGAGGGAGAGAGAGAGACAAAAAAGAGATATATGTAATGTCCAAATTTTTTGATTAATTAATGAAAATGTAATAAAATAAAAATTATAAAGTTGCTATTTGTTATGATATACATATTACAGTTTTATCCGCGCGTTCCTATTGTAACAATGTAACTCATAAAATGTTATCTCTAAGAATGTCAGTTTATTGCTTGATGCCGATTTTGCTGACATCAGTGAACTTTAGTTGTAGTTTGATTGCTTCTACAGTTTCCAGAAAGGGATGGAGAAACAATTAAAGTACGGTTAAAGTTAATCGACATTGTAAGAATCGGTTTCTCCAAACATATGTAACGGAAACCAAGCGATACATTACACTGTCGTGTAGAGATACGATCATTAATCTCATGTACACGAAAACATATAATGACTAAAAATCTCTCAACAAGATAAAGTAGGGTACGTGATTACTCCGGATGGACCCGAAAGTATCTAGGGTAAATGTGAACATAGGCATCCATCTACGTCGTCCGCAAAACTTTAAATTCTTATCGAGATATATTGTTATGAAACGTAGTAAACTTACTAATATATGTAATAGTAGGATTTTTTCTAGGCATAAAATATAATACACACGTATGTAATCATCTTGATTACACGTATGTAGTTATCTTATAATATTCTATTTGTATAAATTATAGTATTTATGAAATGCTTATATTTTATCGTTATTTTTTAAATTATTAAATTTTCTGCTCACAGAATTTTTTTCTTCTAAAATTGTGCGACTGTAAAAAATAGTAGCACTGTACACAGTGAATATAGACTCTGAACCATTGTTCCACTATATTATTGCTTTTGGAATATTCCCAAACAATGTAGGGAGACAATGTAAATAATGGCAGAATTCCAACAGTAGTTGTGAATCAAAAAGATTGCTAATATAAACAAAATTACTCCATTTTATTTCCCAGTTCAAAGACACAATTCGAATTTTGTTAGCATCAGCTGCGATTTTCATGTATAATAATAAACAATTAAGTCACCCCACCTTGTGTCAAGAAAAAATTTATCTTCTTGTATAATATTTTTTATTCTTTTCGGATTTTTATATTAATAAAATATTTCTTTCTCTCTCTCTCTCTCTCTTTCTTTGTTCTTTTCTGAACTATAATCATATAAAGAATGTATATATTTATATAATTATAGTTCAGAAAAGAACAATATATTAAACAGTATAAGATTAATTAAAATTAGAAAAATAGGATATTAATTTAATATGTAACACATAATATAAACGCAAAAAATAGTTCTTCTAATTCTGTTCAAAAATGATTTGTTCAAGAATATCTTAAAATCGATATTCCAAAGTATGCATATTATATTGTATGTAGAAACTAATGGTGAGAAAGATTTGGTGCTAAAAATGATTAACAAGTTTTGTTAATTTTATTAGTCTGTCGACTACTAAACTCTAGTACACCGTCGTCACGCACGTTCGCGCGGAACTATTTGAATAATTAATAACTGGCGAGCACCATCAGGTCAGAAATTCGCACCTCTGTGCATCTAGAATATACGCCGCGGTTAAGCTGCCTCACAAGGTCTTCATTCCAAATCCCTTCGGATGAACCGTTGTTGAAATGCTATCATCGCATCTCATTTTGGGGGAGGGGGATGAAAAGGGGGAGCGAGAATCCCTTTTACGTCACAGCCACCCGCTATGTATATATAGATATATTCTCTAACGCGAGATGCACGCTATCTATATCTCGGGCATGCAGTACAAAATACGGAAATTATGGACACGGTCGTTTCGTGAACGAGAAAATCACGCGTTTCCGTTAGGATATTATATAATATCGTCGCGTTTAACATCGATGCGTGTATCATGCATACTGTAGAGCTGCATGAAATGGTCGAAGGATTTTCGTTCTCCTCAAACTTCAAGGGTAATTTTCAAAAATTCTTTAATTTCTGTGTACATTTTTCGCCTCATAGAATCTAAAAAAAAAATGTCAATAGGAAGCTATAGAGAGAACATCTGTAACTCGAAAATAAATTGAGATCTACTTTATTTACATCTTTTATTCTTTAAACTTCGCGTTTTTAATCTATTAATATATATTCTTCGTCCACATTAATATATACGTATCATCTTTAATATACTCTGTATTTTTTCGCAGGCATATGATTACGGATTCGTGGCGTTCTTTGAAGCCGACGATGCATGTAAACAACTGCATCGTGAGACATACAAGAATTTTTTTACGGAATAGTCATGCTTCATCGACTTGATATACTCGGAATAAGGTCAGTGCACGAGAACTTTGTCTACATTTGCAGTTCGATGACATCGAATAGTGAACGGTATGGAGGCGTCAGTGCAATCATTATAAAAACTTTTTTAAATAACATTTTTTGAGGGAAAAACTTTGTTAAAAAAAGATGCAGTAACAAATATGATATTAATATGCACACTGTAATAAAATTTCGTGCAAGAAATTACAATAAACTCAATTTAGTTTTTTTTTAAAATTTGCTGTAATACAATATTAATGTGATAATAAAATAACGCGATTTTATCAAAATAATATTAGCGTTAATTAAAGTCTTGTTCACAATATACAAAGAGCGCAATATATATGGTTTAAAGGGTTATCCTTCCCTACTAAACTATATAATATTCTGTATAAAAGTATTTTTACGACCGTGTTTGTCTCATAACTCACAACTGCTAATCGAAAATCGATTATATTATGGTGTATATTGTATTACACTCTTGTTTAGAACACGTTGTAGAAGCGTTTTTTTGCAATTTTTTTAACAATAATGTAATTACCGCAGGTATACTTTAACAGAATATATAAATCTTTTTATCTATCTTATAGATATAATTTAACTTAATCACGTATATAAAACGTCGGAAGTTCATATCTTTATCAAGACTTCTGGAATAAGATAAGAAAGAGAAAATTATAATATTGCAAGAGCTTGATCAAATTTTGACACATGATGAAATTTCTTAGATAACGATAATCACAGAAATTGAAATGTCGACATAAAATCGCGGTAATTGCAATCATCCTCATCTCAAAGTTAATGTAAATGTTACTTCGAATTGCCGACAGTCAGTGGATAACATACAACGTAGGAAATGCACAATATGCCGCATCATTTGGTTCAATGCGCAATTGTGATATGATATAAAAGCAGGTCGAGTATTCGAGCAGCGCAACCGATGTTAACAAACGTTAAGCGTTCCTCTTCGCTTTATGTTTTTTAAGAGCTGCACTTCCTGAGAGCACTGGCGATCCTCCATGCCTTTTCAACATTGTACCCGTTAAAGCTGTCCCCTTTGAATGTTTACAAAATGCAACGACTCCAAAGTTTGCTCAATGCAAAATTTCCTTCTATAGTAATTCATTTGAATTAATTAAACTGAGATATATATAAACTTTAGATTGATTTGTTAAAATTAAATAATCTTAAAAAAAAAAATGTAGAATATGCGCATATAATCAGATAGAATATTTTCGTCTTCCTACTATGCATCAAACGAATTTGGGTTAACGTTGTTTTCGATGGAGTTGGGTTTGAAATTTGAAGCTAGCTTCGCGTGTATTTCGCGCTAATCAAATTCGGCTAGTTAATAAGAAGTGTTTGCGAACACTGAACTTCAGTAAATGCTAAAATTCGACGTTTACTACAAGCTAGCTATGATTCATCACGTTTTTCGTGCTATCATGAAATTAAATCACCAATCATTAATGAGATTTTATTGAGGTTTTATTATTATTATGGAATTATACACAAATTATTTCGTAAGAAATTATTTAGGAAGCAGTGTTTGTTCGAATCGTTTTTGGCTATACATAATGTATTCCGTCCACGTGCAAGGTATTCTTACGTAACTTCTGTGATACGCCGAATGCTAAAATAAGCGAAGCGTAGGAGAATCGACAATGATTTGAAAATGTGGAACTGCAGCGTTTCGCGGATTGCAGATATTTCCGAGAGACTGGATTTTTATGAGATAAACCAGTTATATAACTTTCAACTTCTTCAGGACTTTATTATTATTTGAATTATTATGAATATTATGAATTTTATGATGAATATTATCATGAATTTTATAAATTTATACTATTATTTTCGCATTTTCAAATTTTTATCTGTTCTATTCGTGTTATAATTTCGTATGAGATAGAAGGAACGAGTTTATATCCGGCACTGATTCTTGATTATACACATATAAAATGTTAACGATTAATAGAAGATTTAGATTGCACAATGGATATATATTACTAAGAAAAATGTCGAGGCAAGAGATTAACACTAAACATCTGCATTTGACATTTCGATCTCGAAAAAATCTTGATGAGGTATACAATAATATCCATATAAATTCCATAATAGCAACCATTTCGAAAATGCAGCTGCAATATGGCGGTCTGAACACATCGATCGTCAAAAAAGATTAAGATGACATAAAACATGTTTCTTTTGCAAGGATGTTTGTCGTTGTAAATCGAGTATGATGTTATTTCATCATTTTATCAAAGGCCACATAAATTCATTGAACTCCAGCTTATATATTATTTATGGCTCTCACCATGTTCGTAGATACATCTAGTATACTATAGTAGTAGATGTATCAATGATACCATCAATAATTCAATAACGAGAAAATAATAGCACGAAGTCATTAAATCTATTATTTTGTATTATTCGCCAATAATTAAATGTTAAATCAGAGCATGGAACAAATCAGGACATGCGTAATAAAAGTCAATGTAAATACGAATAAAAGATACAGAAACTTATAAAAAGTTTAAGTTTTATTCAGATATAATACTTTCCTAAGAAAACTTAGTGATGAATCAACGTGGCAAGAGATTTTTGATTTACGACAACTAAATTAATATTCTGAAAGTCACACTGATCGTAATATCAGAGACGTGAAATGCATACGCGATCGAGAGAGATAGCTAAGTCGGCTCGTAAATCGGCATTAACGCACGTTGGCTCGATTCTTCGCGATCACCTCGTTAAACAAAGTGAGGAACGGATCGAAGAGCGTTCCGCCTTATCGGGTGGCAGGCGGTATCATGTTGAGAAAGGAGGATCGATCCCCCGATATCCGTGCAGTCGAGAATCGACGGGGCACTCGGAGTTGGTACCCGCGACGACAGCAGCGGTTGCGCGAGGTTTCGTAAGCTAGGAACGCGATGGTACCGTGAAAGAGGACGACAAAGGGGGCGACGAAGGGGGCCTGACTTACCCTTGTCGAGGGTCTCTCGGGCCGCGTGTATGACCTTTCTACGCCGGAGACCGTCGCCCGGTAGGGCGCTCGTCATCGTATTGGTGAAGGTCGCGCCGGTGCTCGTCCCGGTTTTGACATCATCGCCGTTCGCGCACTCGTCCGTCGTGGACGTGGTGGCGGCGGTCGACGCGCGATGGTGATGATGATGGTCGAGGAGATTGATCGAGGACCCCTCGCCGCCTGGCATAATGTCCCGGACTGCCAGGGATCGTAGTCCTTGGCCGGAGGACTCTTGCGCCTCAACTGAACTGTGACTCGTCTCGCTACGTCGTTCTCGCCCACCCTCTCTCTTTGCTGCGCTCTCGCGCCCTCGTCTTACTTCTCGTATCCCGCTCCCGTTGTATATTACCCTCCTTACGTCTCACCACTTCTAACCCTTCGCCGCCTACGTGGCCACCCATGCCACATAGTCGTCGACTCGCACGATGACGACGTGTACATATCGGGTGAGACCCCTCCGAGCATCCCCTATTGCGCTTCCGGTGCCGAAATGCCGCCCCTTCGTGACGTGGCACCATCTGCACGAGTGGGGTTGTACTTTACCGATCGATGGCGTCGTAAGGGTGGGTTTTAGTCGACGCGAGAGATAAAGCTAACTTGGACTTGAAGGAAAAGTTACTAGAATACACGATAGCGCACACATCTGAAAACTAGTTTTTATTTATAAACTCGCTCAAAAAATTTTAAGATATTTGTTGATTTGTTTGATATTTTGATATTTCATTTGAAAGCAATTTACAAAAATTTCACAAAGATCTTTTTTTCCAATAAATAAAAGAGAATCCAGTCTCGAAGGGATAAAAATACTTTTCGCTGCAAAAAGAATAAGAAAGAGAATATATAATTTTTTGCATTCTCGCATCTTTATTAAAATACTTACACGCTTAACTTACACGTATACTACACAGGTGTGTGTAATTAAATTAAATAGACTTAACTCTCTATATATTTTTAAAGCGATACGATTACTCGTTCAAGTCGAGCTTTCGCGCTTCGATCTCGCTGGAAGGACGCTCGGCGTCCTTTTTATAAGCACGCGTCGCGACGAACGATCGATTTGCCGTCAGCGACGCGGAATTTCCTTTTCAGAAGGGGAAGTCCCTTTTCACGGTTGATATCATGTTGGTATTTCGCCTTTAACCCCGACATACATAATTTGTCACGACATCTTGAACGATGTTTTATGTCCCAGCGATGAAACATCCTTTCTTAAATGAAGCTGAAGAACATTGATCATTCTCTACATGTTTTCGTACAACATATAAAGTAATTTAGTCGTGTACTCAATTCATGTTCTGTTATCGTGCTGAATCTTAATTTGCGACCGATATTTTAAATAACATGTTAATTTATTCTAATGACAAAAAATATCCATTTTTTTAATAATCTTGAATACGTGATTAAAATAATGGAATAATTTAATATAAAATTACGATCATTTTATGTATTGCATGAGAGAATGTAGAATGTAAAAAAATGCGAAAACGTAACTGTAATTTCGCGGACCGACAAATATAGCTTTTGAAAATTCATAAGCACAATATATATCGATCCATACATAAAAAAATAATTTGGAAAATGTACCAATTAACACTTTTCTATTCGGTTTTAATTTTTGCATAATTTCTTGTTTTTTTATACGACATGTTTTTTATAAATCTTATATTTATATAAGAATAAATACACACATATATTCCTAAACGTATTGATATAGAAATATTATTAAATTATTTTAAACATTATTTAATTCATCTTGCTGCATTTTTTCAACAACGATAGGCATCTAATAAAGATTGATTGTTGTTCTAAAAATTGCCTTTCGCCATATTATTATCTGCTTTAATAACCGAACAGAAAAATGCTAAGGACGACTTTACGATTGATCGAATCGACGTTTTTGACGTAGCTCAATACGTCGAATTTTTCTCATCTTTCCATAACATCATCCATCTTGGGCCTCGTCATCACGCATCGACCTCTATAGCAA